TTTCTTCCATTAGAATTTTTTGTAACCATCTTTTAGAAGCACCCCAGTTATTTATGAGCTTTCAACATTAAAAGAAGCGAGGGGAATTCCATGGGTTGTAGGTACTATTTTTGTTGTTGTTCTATGAAATTCTGTTCAGCTCTTGTTGAAAGGCCAATGTATACTATTTCTCTCTCCTCGGGTTTGTTGATATCCTGCTAAGTGAAGAAATAAACACAAAGCATTGTGAGGCTGGGTCTGGGCTGCCAGAACAAGAACAAAGTGCACTATACTTAGACCAGTGATAATAAGGTAAATTGAATAAAGGGAACAAGATGCAGACAAGTAAATGATAAGATTAGCAGTGTGAGCTTGCAGCCCAGAAGGCCAACTGCATCCGGGGCTGCATCAAAACAGGTGTAACCAGCAGGTTGAGGAAGGGGATTGTCCCCCTCCAGTCTGCCTTTTTGAGAACCCACCTGAAGTACTACATCCAGATTTGGTATCCCCAGCAACAGAATGTTAGAGAGAGTCCAGAGGAGGGCCACAAAGATGATCAGAGAACACCTCTCCTATTAAGAAAGGCTGAGAGAGCTAAGGATGTTCAGCCTGGAGAAGAGAAGGCTCCAGGGAAACCTTAATGTGACCTTTCAATATTTAAAGGGGTCTTATAAAAACAACAGAGAATCTTTACTCAGGTAGATAATAAGACAAGGAGAAGTGGTCTTAAACTAAAAGAGCATAGCTTTATACTAGACATTAGGAAGAAATTCTTCACTGTAAGGGCAGTGACGCACTGGAAAAGATTGCCAAGAGAAGTTATGGATGCTCCATCTCTGGAGGCATTCAAGGCCAAGCTGGATGGGGCTTTGACCAATGTGATCTAGTGGATGGCATCCCTGCCTGTGGCAGAGGTTTTTAAGTCAGCTAATCTTTAAGGTCCCTTCCAACCTGAGCCATTCTATGATTCTACGATTTCATGCTACCTTTCTGATACTCCCTGGGCTAAAGAAGACTGTTATGATTACCTCCTTGTGGACTTTTAAACACAGAGCAGGGCTAAACCAATTCTACATTTGATGACACGGGACATATGCAAACTTCATTCACACTGAAAGAAAAAAAGTCCAAATGGACGTGATTTCTTTTATTCTTTCATTCTTTTCATTTCTTTTCATTCCCCAAGTTGAACTGAGGCTCAGCAAAGAACCTCTTCTGTTTCTTACAGTCTTTTCTTTATGACTACCTATTTTCATCACTGCTCTAGCTTCTCTAGCAGCAGCCTGTGGCGTATTTCAGATCATAGACACAGTACTCTATGATTATGAAAAGGAACATCGAAGGAATCACTATTTTTATCTACTGTTTTTATAACACCCCCACACCTCCAAGATCATTCCCCAAATATACAAAATTGCTTACATCTACCTTAGATAAATTATGATCCTGAATACTACTTTTACAGCTAAATCCAGCTTTCTAGGTTAGCAGCTACAAGACTTAGGAATTCATGAAGTGAAATATTTATGTATATTGCTCCCTGAGATAGGTCGTGCGGTGTCAGGTCAGGTGAGAGTGAATGCCAATACAAAGATGACTGGAAGTGGCAAGGAACCAGGAAAGGAGGCTTAGAAATGCCTTTTCTGCAATGCAAGCCTTTGGATCTGCCCAGTCATTCCATCAAACACTATCCTTATAGCTCCCCTTTATTATTTCAAATCTGTCCTATTGTGTATTGTAAAATTAAAGAAACCACATATCATTTTTTTCAAAAGATCCAATGCCTAATCAAATCAGTATCCCCAAATCCAGCATTTGCTATATTTGCTTTCTTAGTTTTTGTCATTTAATAATCTTTCAAAACAGTTTATACATGTATGTAGGCATACAAATATCACATATATATGTATCATATAATATATATGTGATAAGATAATTATCATATCATATATATATATGTGTGTATGTGTAATAAAAACTAGTTTGAGTATCTCTACAGTTTCCCAGGAGTTAGAATGGCAAGATGAGCTTCAATTTCTTCTGTATTTATTTCAATAAATTTTGCAGACTATGGAACTGCTGTTAAATTATCCTGTGTGATCTTCCCTATTTAGTTTGCTTTCATTAAAGTATATTGAAGGTGTCTCCTCAAAAGGGGTTCTACCAAGACCTCATTTACAATAATTTTTTCTTTTTTTTTTTTTTTCAGATTTCTCTCTTGAACTTTCTGAAACTTAATTCAATGACAAATGTGCTCCATTACTTACAATATTTGAAAAGCTGAAAGGAAAAAAAGGATGAGATGATGAAGTGGACTAACAGAAATCTCTAAAGAGCTAAATTGAGTAGTAGATACATAATTGTGCTAACAAGAAAAGTGGTCAATGCTTTTTCAAAAAGAACCTTGAAGCATTTTACTATCCATTAACAATCTGGGAGACATGTGCAGCTTATGCTTTCAAGTAATTTTCTAAAATTGCCTATCAATGAATGCTTCAATATGTACTTAGTCAGGGACAGGTTGATGGGGTCTCTGAAATATCACTGCATCCTCTCTGAAGAAGCTACTGAAAAAAAATAAATAAATTGTTAACCTTACCGGTTGGGCTCTGACCTAGCCAATGATAGGCTAAAGATGTCACAGAAGTTTGAAAAACTAGTTCTAGACAGCTGAATAATAGAGATGGGGAAGGCAAAGAGGGAAAAACTGTTGTCGGGAAGCAAGGTTAATGCTGGATCATAAAGATCAAGAGGAATGGGAAATTCTCTGGATTAATGTAAAGAAGAAACTGTAGATGTGAGAGACAGAGAGAATGGTGTCTAGTAGCACATACACCATTTTTAGCTGTGAGAAGAAGAAGGAAGCTGATTGCAGAGGGAAAATATTCCATGATTCATATAAAAATGTATGTGAACAAATTATTCAAACTTAATCATGACCTAAGCCCAAAGTCTCTTCCAGAACCATGAGGAAACAGAGACAAAGAGTAACGGAAAAAAAAAAAATCATAATCTGTTTTTCAACTTCTTTCATGTGTTCAGTTTTTATTTTCCTTATTTAAAATTTGTTGCATTCTGTTAGAAATATGTCTTCTGTATCCAGCTGCGACCATCTCACTCTAAACCATGAATCAAAATGAATTATGTCATAAAGATAAAGGCCTTGGAAAACTGTGTGAGATAACACCCCTGAATTTGACTGAACACTTTAAGAAAAAAAAAAAAAAAAAAACATTCAAAAATTTCGTGCACCTGAAAATATATCACACAGATAAGTGTCTGTGGCCTAAGGCAGGTCAAAGAAGTCATGAGGCTAGTTTTAGAAGACGCATCTCCAACAGGATACTGATTATCCCAAGAGGGCTGTGACTCCAGAAAGACACCACAAACTATGTGTTGTCTTCAGTTCACAAAAAGGCAGACATGAGTCAACATTCAAATTAATCTGCTGTTTCTTTACTTCATGTATCCAAATGTCTTTGCAGCTAGGGATCCTTTCAACATATGAGCAATGTGGATGACTTTATAGTTTAGGGAGGATAAAAAGACAGTTTAATTCTAATAAGACACTTCATAAGCTGAAGGGATACAGCAGTGACAGCTAAATGAAGGCATTCTTCCTTCTGCCATGAGAATAGTTCTGTCATGTTTGGAGGAACATACATACTTAGAAGCTTTCCATGACATGTTCACATTCCATTTAGCACTTCTGCCTTTAAAAGGACTCCTGTAGCTACTCAGTTTAGCAATATGTAGACGTATTTGAATGCAATACAGAAATGTCTATTTCTGTGCATATTATTGATATGTATATGATGAGTTGGGATTTGTAATATATATTATTTAACATTAGATATAGATGATACAGGTTAAATCATGTGACAGTATATTTTATTAGCTAAACATATGCATTACAAGATCATATATAACATAAATTGTCGTATGTGCGTTTGTATACTAAACATGGGCCTACCATGCACCTTAATAAAAAGAAATATGCTCGAGCACTCAGGCAGTCAAGGACTCAGAAACTTTAAGCATCACAGTTAAAGTTTTCCAGGCTAAAGTTTCCAGGTTAAAGTTTTCCAGGTGTTCAATCAACACAAATTAAATTCAGCATATCCTTAGTTAGGTGCCTTCTCTGCCTTACATCAGAGCCCATCTCCTGAATGCATACAACAAATACTCAGTTTTGTGAGAGTCACAGAATGTACTGAGGCCTTACTGGCACTGAGTGTTACAACTTTCAGGTGCTTTCTCTGTTGCTGACATTCATAATGCCCTCTTGGGCACCTAAACTTCCACAAAAAGTTACACAAAACAGTTCAACACCTAACAGAATTTGGCAGCAGCAAGTTCAGGAGGAACTGACCTAAAATAGGCAGAAACAGAAATTGAAGGATAGAACTTAAATGTTTACTGTTAGTCTACTTTCAGATGTTCACTGCATAACACATTACAAAGTTAATTAGAACAACAACCAAGAGTCTGATCACATTCTCCCTCTAAAGCCTTCAACACAAAGCTTTGTCTTCCTCTGAGCTACTGTATGGAAATTGTGCAAGCCAATACAAAATGGAACAGCTTCAACAAGAAATACTGAGAGAATTTCATTTTAGAAAACTTGACAGGACTTCCCTGACAAATACATGTGGAAGATGCCAGTATGGGTTTTTTACAAGGGTGTTCTGGATACTGGGTAACCTGGCTGCAGTTTGTGTGCCATCACACATGCTCTGAACAGGGCTCTTTGGTGGTAACTCATATTTGAAAAAGGTGAAAGACTAGTCTTTTCTTAATTTTTAAGGGTGTGAAGGAGGTACATAACTACTGTTTTCAGGATGGATGTGAAACCTGATGGTAGTACAGGTAGCTGGAGAATGCTGACAGTTAAAATGTTACTACTGAGGGTTTTAATCATAATTTAATGGGCATAAAAAGTTTTTAAAGTTAGTCTTAAGAGACTACAATGAGATATAGGTATCAAAGCCCCTTTCATAAATTTAACCTTAATAACTTACTTTTGTTCAGTATGTGTCCACTTTACATCTTCTCTTTTATGTATGGTACTATGCTTTACAGAAGAAAAAAAAAAAAACAATTTTTTATTACTTTTTTTTTTTTTTACTATGCCTTTTATCACTAGATATTCAACTGCTTCATAAACTAACAAATCACTTAATTTATCTTGACATGCTCTTCTATTGATAGAAGAACCCAAAGCTCAGAAAGAATTAAGCCAAACCATTCACTTGTTTAAGCTCCCAGTATGGTTAAACTGAACTGATATCTATAGAAGTATCCAAAGGAGGACATCCCTAAATTTCTTCTGCTCAGCCCTTGTGCAAAACAGATGACAGGACATAGAATTATAAAATGAGTAACATGCAATGAGTAACCACTTCTGTAAACTGTGTTTTTTGTGACTTGACTAGCATCACGTAGGAATTTTTTGGCAAGGCAGGGAATAGCATCCCTTCTATTAGGATGGTTCTCTCTTAATCATACATTACCCATCTATAATTCACCTCTCCATTCACTATTCCCTTTTTAATTACTAAAATGAATGGTGCAAAAGATGGTTAAATAGGTGTGCTACAAGGTCTGAGCATGCTCTATGAAGGTCTTCCCTTTGAAAATGATTGGGGTGGAGCTCAGCTCATCTACCTTTAGCTATTTAAAATGTAGATGCATAGTTAAAGATAATTTTCTGACCTTCCTCTGTAATCAGTGGCATAAGATAGGTACCTCCAAAGGGTTGACTCATCCCATACTAAAATGGATGTCTAAGTCTGAATGAATTACCCTCTGGAAATGGTTAGATGTATCCATTAACTGCAAAGAGCACTTAGATGAATAGATACCTAAATGTTCAATGGCTAAATTTGACTAAGATGAAATTCACCTTTTGTGCTTTACTGTATACTGTATTTCTTATGGACAGTCTGGGAGTCAGTAAAACTAAGTACTGTAACCATCCACAACTGCAGTTCCAAAAATAACTCAGGTCTTTGTCTGACACCTGTAATGGCCTTCAAGAGTAAATAAACATGATTAGTTGTCTACTTAGACCTTAAAGTATGAGAACCAGAAGTATGGTAAGGTGCAGGAAAGTCAATATCAATCCTAAATATTTGTTAGGAGACTGGATTTGTTAAAACAGTATACTGTCAGCAAAGTGGCTCTGAGAGATACAGGCAATAATCAAGTTAAACAAGCAGTTAGTACTTTAGCAATCAGTACAGAGGAAGTCTGTCAACAGATAATGTCCAGGTGAAACAACAGGTCAGCACACCAATTTGCCAATTCTTAAGCCAACTGAAACAAGAATAGCTGAAAATCAGTGTATGATCCTGCATTTATAAATATTATTAATCAACACTTTGATCAGTAAGCAGAATCCAAATCCGATAACTTCCAAATGAAGCATAAAATGTCATCAAAACAGTGCCTTGACATTTGTTCTGATTTGTGTTGCTGTTGTTGCTGTTTAAAGAGTTTTAACAGTGGAAGCTACTCTCAAAATAATTAACCTTATTTTGAATTTGGAGGAGGCTGGGGAAAACAAACTAAGATGTTCCCTATGGATGAAGGAATCTATTAACACAGAGTAAATTGCAGGTTCAAGACCCAAGGGCAAACTGTCTTAAAAATGAGTAGTCTTCACTCAAGTACATTATTCCACTGAAGTCATTTATCCTTACAAGTTAAATTAAGGTAAACATACTTATACCTTAACAAACCAAAACTTGTTGTAATAGATTATTACATTTTTAAAAACCTGACTTTGCCCCTGAACAAGAGAATGTTATGCTATGCTTTTTCATATTTAATTTAATCCTTACCAGTTTTGTATTATTAAAATAAGGGTAAAATCAATATCTTGTGCTTGTCTAGAGAGCTGATTGTATTTTCCATTATGACGGGAAATTCATAACTCATAATTCTTTACAGTAATGAATGAGAACAAATAGGGTGGGGAATAAAGAAAACAAATTAATCACATTGACAGGTTTTACCCTCTTTCATAGCAAATACCTACCTCTCTATAAATATATCTTCTTCCTTTTGCTACTCAGCAGCTGAATAACAAATGTGAAAAAAAAAAAAAAGAATCTGAGGAAAACAGAAGTTTACATCATCCACAAGTTTTCAACATAGGTTGATAGCATATTTGATATAAGCTATATAGGTTGATAGTATCTCACTTCTAATACTAATGTTCAAAAATGTATGTCTAGCAACCACACAAGCACCTAAAACTACAAATGAGATGGCTCAAACTATCAGATGCAAATGTACTCAGAAAGACAAGTATGAGAATGAAAGTCTGCGAGAGAAACACATTTTTAAATAGTGCATGTTTGAGAGGTCTGCCAAACTTGCAGTGGAAAATTTTCTTTCAGGTGTAGCGTCTTCTATTCCTCTCTATGTGATAACAGAACTTAAGTTTCATAGAATTAAAAATATAATCTCTGGACAATTTTATTATCTTTACCCGTGAAGACCTTCCATTCTGATTTGGGGTTTTAAAAGTTGACTTTCTTTCCGCTTGTTAAACCTCACAAAACCACATCACTCCCCACAAGGTATATTTAAAATTATGAAAAACTTTAGACCGTTGAAAATTCCTCAGTGAATTATGTGAAATCAAACCTAAACAATCCACTGTGTATTCTCATTTCTCTGCGTGGCAGCCAGCTCTAGTGAACTGTACAAGGATTAGAAACAAGGAACTCCCAGATTTTATTCATACCTCTCCTGCTAACTTGCTTTCACACTCTGCACTTCTATAGAATTTTTCACTGTCTAGTCATGCCATACTTATTCTCCTGAGGCATGTAAATATTATCACCTAAATTACAGCTAAGGAAAGCTAAGTGTGCTTATCAGTTTTCTGAAGTCACAAACAAGTCAGTATCATTATCGCTATTACAACATGTGCTCCTTAAGCTCCTTACATTGCTGGATGGGCCAAGACAGGAAAAGGAGACCACTTGGTGATCCAGGCACTCTTTGAGGTTCCAGAAAGGTTATCAACACTTTCAAAAAATTGTTTTCTTTTGGATATGGGTCTCCAAAATGTGTAAATTAAAAAAATCATTGCTTGGCTCCTGGGTTTTATATTTATGCGTAACATATGTGTATGAAAAAAAAAATAATCTTTTTTTATTGTAAGAATTTTGCAGTTGCATGGAAAATTTACAGTCCTTGGGAGGTAAAATGGCATCACCAGAATTTGCATGACAACTATACTGCATGCAATTCTAACTAATTTTTGTTAATGGGAGACATAGGCATGGAATAAATGATAAAAATGAGATGACACAAACTGATGACAGAAACTTTCAGAGAATTGTGTGATGCTTGTCTGTAACGTGTTTTAGCTACCTGAGAATTACACTGAACTGTATTTGATTAGTACCTACATTCTGTATAGGATGGTTCTGACAAATTAATTTAGTCATCCATTTTTTCCTTCTAATTCCATTTAGTTCTGACTCTTTATGTTCATCATCCTGAGCCCATTTTACTCTGTTTTGTTCTGTGTGATGATGGTGAAATTGCTAGCATAATAACATTGCAGAAGGCAGCAGAAAGTTACCGTCTTTAGAGTATAACACATAAAAGAAACAATAGAAGCAACAATGATAACTCAGTTACATATGCATACAACTGGGCACCAACATGTCCAACATTCAGTTCCAGGCTTCACTACACGCAAATGTGATTTTAAGCAAAAAAATCTATCTTGTATCACCCTTTTTGTCACCGTTAATTTTTATCTACATACTAAATACAGAAGTTGGAGGAACTAATTCATGTTTGTACAGCATTTGTGCTGAAAATGTTTGCAAAAAATAACGTTCAAGATCATAATTTTGTTATTATTCATCATATGAAAACAAGAAAAATTCAGATATTCTGAGCTTTAGCATCTACCTTTGTAGGTTAATCAAGAGGTTCTAGTATGTGACTAATTTTTCTTAAAGTTATTAGAATTTTAAACACGTAATTCCCCATCTCTGAAAACCTACATCTTTCTACTGAAATCATTACACTTAGCAACATATTTAAGTTTTTCTCCCTGCACAGAAAATACTCACTTTTCATTAGTAAAACAGAAAATCTGCCCAGCAAAATTTTTCTTCTGTATTACTAAAAACATTTTTGTTTTTCTGAGGTGTGCTTTCTCAGCCTGACTGTACATTGTTTCAGTGTTTCAGATTAGCTTCAACTTAACCTAAATAATGTTCGTTCCTTAGATAGTGTAGTATTACATACATCTATTAGTCATTTTATTTACTCCACTGAAATGAAATTGGTCTCTGCCCTCCCAGAATAGCAGATAATTAACTCTTTAGAAATAAGGTTAGTTAGCTAGACGAAAATCTCTTCCTGAAAGTGAAGTGAACAAATATGTACAAAGATTACAAGAAAATGTATGCAATCAGTTTGACCCTTGAGACAAAGCTGACAAGTCCAACCAGAAAATAAATTATAATGTATGAACTGCAGCTCAAAGAACTTCTTCTTTGATAGCTCACTAACATATCTCACATTCAAGGAAAAGTAAAAATAAGTGTATGTTCTACCATTACCAAACATACACCATATTTTCAAGTTAAAAATTGAACACAGATAACACCACTGATACAAAATAAGCTTTTATCCCCCCGCCCCGTCACCTCCCTTCTACATGTCCCCCCTCCCCCCCCCCCCCCCCCTTCCCCAACATACATACCAATGCCTAGTAGTTTTGGATCAAAAAGCACCCTTACAGCTTCACATAGACTTTTCTTCAGGCATGCTCATCCAAGAAGAGTAGTATTAGACATCTCACATGATCCCTTACACTTACAGAGTGGGTCACACACCGTTCATTCAGATAATCACCTGATCTCCAGTATAGTTTCCAGTCCAAACCTTAATGCTGAGCAATCTCAGTTTCACTTCACCAAGGCTTAAGAAGTACAGCAGCATACTCAACTGTAGAGCAATAGAAGTGTTCTGAGTAATACTCAAATCACTCTGCTGCCTAGGTACAATGCAAAACTACTAAAGGGAGGGAGGAAGGGAGGGAACATGGCAATGTTAGCTCACTATCACATGGATGAAGTCTCTAATCTAATTCATTATCCTACACTGTAATAGAGATTCTGAGAGAATAATTGAATGTTACTCTCACTGAGGAGGGACACCTGACTTTCAGGACAGGAAGAACTCTGGCTGTATCTATATGAATGATATATATGGTCTTTCTTTCTATGTCTGAACCAGAGATGAGATTAACAAGATCAAACAAAAAGAGTAGGCAAAGTAAATGATTGTCTAGTATACAGACAGTCTATGCTAACTGCTGTGGCACTGAGAAATTGATTGTAAAAGGTGGAAAAAAATTCATAATGAAGAGAAGAGCAATAAATACATTTAAATAACAAATTTATAATACAACTGCTTCACTGTAAAATAGCACTGTGGGTTCAGATGTGTAGTATTGTCAACAGAGCATACATATAATTGTGATAAACTTGGGATCAGCATGAATTACACTGGCAAAAATATTTCTTATTCTATTTATGCCTAATAAGATACCCCTGCAGAATCAAGAACTATGTGAAGAGAAATTCTCTGTATGTTCTCCCTTTTGGATGGCTACTTTCCCGGCCAACAGCCTGCATGGAACTGTAGGGCTCTGACAAATTTGGGTAAGGTTTTTGTGAAAAACCCAAGTGGCCACAATGAAAGAGAAGCAGCAATGGATTCAGCTATTATGAGATCACTGGGCAGGTTAGACAATGATAGATCCAGATATCCCTGATATGATGGGTAAAGTTTAAAGTATTTAAACGACTGATAACCCTAAAGACCTATTCTCAGAAGCGACCAAATCTAGCACCCAAGTGTAGAGAAGTCCTAATCTGACAGAAAACTAATGAGGCATAGATTCCTCTTCTACTTAACAAACAGAAAATTGTATACAATGTGAAATACTGGTATACAAACACAGTAAGCATTTATGTTTTGTATATGTTGCTCATATTTGGATAGAGGGTTGTTTTGTCTCTGTGTAGTGTAAAGTGCTAGATCAATACTAGACCTTATCTGCAAAGAAATCAGACTGTGTACCCCAGCCTTTGGCTGAACATTTCCTCAAATCACACACTTCCAATGAGCAGTGTTCTTAAGAGCTCTGTATAAAAAATTATCCTGTTGGGTTTATTCATGTTACTGAGGCTTAGTCCTGCAGGAAACTGTCCCTTTTCCTTAATTGCCTTAGAGGATACAGCTGTCCCTACTGAGCAGAGTTGGATTTATAGGTGGGTGGGGCATGGCCTTGCTACCTTTTGGGCACATTGTTCTCCAAGGGACAATGCCGACAAGTGCACACATGCTCTGGAGACTATAATTGTTTCTTGATGTCATAGGAGGTTGAAGAATAGCATCAAAACTTACAACTCTTGGAAAAAATATCAAGATATCACCCTCTAGCCAAGAAAAAACATGCTGGGGCCACTTTCCTAGTGGCCCTCTCCTACTCCTCAGAAATCTAATCAGGGCTGACTTAAACCGAGGACTTGTGTTGTCTCTCTACTGAGCTAGAATTCAGCAGCCCAAAAAGAGTAACACCAACAGATGATCCGAATACTGGAAGCAGTTCAACACGGGTTTTGTCTTCCTTTGAGGTTTAATCTCAGTTTCTTTCTCTAAAGGCTCATGACATCACAGCCAATATCACCCCTGTTCCCTGCTTAAATACTTCACACATATAGGTAAAATTAGAGTAAACCCTTTCTTAAACTCTGAGTTCTTTGAGACAGAGACTGACATTTTATGACCTGGATGTGAAGAGTCTACTACAAAACAGGGCCCTGATCCTGTACTGAGACCTCCGGGCAATGCTGCAAGAGAAGCACTAATTATAGAGGTGTCATCTTGTTATCTGAGCAAATGAGTCTAACTCCTTCATTTTCCTTCTGGCTCTTGTTCGAGCTGCTTTTGCTGCCTTCACTAAGCCATTTAACTTAGTTTTATGTCCTCCTACTGTAAACAGAGAATTACTCCTCATTTGTTTATCTCCAGCAGTTATATTTGCGTGTAGTTAATGGTCATTACATACTTTCAGAGAAAAAGCAAAATGGGAAGAAGGGCAGGAGAAGAGCACTTGCTCCTCCTGTACTCCTTTATGCAACTTTTTTTTTTTTTCTGTTACAACTGATTTTCTCAAAGCTATGGACAAGCACTAGAACTAATAAACAAGGCAGCAGATTAAATATATACATATATACGTGTGTCTTTTTTTGGTTCCTCATTACAGGTATGCAAACTAAGGCAAGAAAATGAGCCACAGGTTCTAACTCCCCAACTACTGCTTTTGATTTTAAGCTCACTTGACTTCCTCTTCAAGGTTTCAAATGAGTTGGCATAGAAAATATTACAATGAACATTATTTCACAGTTCTTTGGTCATATTACAGATCCAATTAATAATTGGATAATCGAAGTTTCACTCTCAATATTCAGTATCATGTTAGCTTTACATACACCAAAGAACAAATATTTGAATAGAAAATAGTTTCAAGAACTATGTATTTTGCTTTTTTCTTGATGTAATCCCCCTCAGCTCCCACCTTTTCTGTAGTCACAAGACTTTCAGACCCTTCTTATTCATACTGCCACAACACCTTCTTGCCAGTAAAGACATTTATTCTCCCTCCTTCCCCACCCCACCCCCCTTTTTTTTGGGGGCGGGGGGCAGGAAATGAGAAGAAAGGAGAAGAAAGTGCTAGATGTTCACAGTAATGGTTCCTTTGGTATTTTAATTTTTATTGCCTCTTAAAAGCTCTGGATTATGACTTGCTTTTCCTGAGGAACAGAATGTCACATTAGCAAACACAGTGAGATTAAGGCAATTAGTCTCAAGATATATCTGTTTCCAAAAGAGAAGCAAATTTACTTGAAAAGCATGGAAGCATGCTTTGTGATTTAACACAGTTATTCAGGTAACTAACTGATGGCAGCAGTAAATTTTCTATTTTAATGAGAACAAATTTTCAAGTTTATGTAAAAGCAATTTCATGTCAAAGTTCACGTCCACTTTTCCAAATCTTCAAACATAGAGTGGATCCCAATTTGAGGTGCTTCAAAATATTTCTGTTTCTAGACCTATTATCAAAATATGTTTGTTTAAGTAACCTATGATATCAATAATTCTAAAATGGTATCTTACTTTTTGAACCTCAACTGCTACAGTCTTTCTGATTTATGTTCTGTATAACATATTAATATTTTCATGAAATCCCATCCCAAGAATAACTTTCAGTATATCAAATGGGAAATTCAAAAGTTAAAACTTGCCCTTAGAAGTAAAGCAAGATATTTTTATGTGACTTTTTAGGGCCCAGTTATATTCGCATAGGAAAAGATTTACCCCCATGTACTCTTAAATATGACCTAAATTTCAGTCCAAGCATCAGTCAAAGAATGAAGATCTTATAAATGAGTTTTGAGTTACTCAGCAAATCAAAATTTCAGTGCTGTTTCTGTTTTTCTGTTCAATTTTATCTAAAACAGGTTTAGCCACTATTTCCATGGTGTCCAAAGTAGTATATTCACTCCAAGCAAACTTTAAAACTTTAGTGGCATCCTACCACTTAAAATGATTACATAACTCTGCTCTACACTATTTTTTATATTATGATTATTTATTATTATGATTATTTTTACAGTTCATGACTGTGGCATGTAGAAGTATGCAAAATGTGAGGGTCAAAGTCCCTCTAAAGAAACTTCGCAGGAGCCAACCCACAGACCATAGCTGTCACCCGGGACATTTTTCTAGAGAGAGAGAGAGAGAAAAAAAAAAAAAAAAAAAAAAAAAAAGGCACTCGAGTTCAGCTGAGTCTAAAGGCTAACAAAAAAAGCCTTCACGCTGCCCATTTTGAATCTCCTGCCGAACGAGGGGACGGGGTTGATGCTTAGGGGCTGCAGCTTTCACCCCAGTGAGGGAAGAGAAAACAAAAAGTGGAGGAGCCCGGAGGCCAGCGCCCCGCGGCTCGGCCCGCCGCAGCCCTCCCGTGAGAAACTCGGGGAGTTTCTTCCCAGCGGGGGCTAGGGGGGCCAGGTCGCCTGACCCTCATCGCCTGCAGGATCCGCACAGTAGGGCCGCCAGTCTCGCCTCCCAGCCCCGGCCGAGCCTCACCTTGTTAACACGGGGGGCTTCAAATCTTTGCGTTCGTTAACACGAGAGAGGTTCAAAGTCAGGAAAAGCTATGTTCCCCTCAATGGAAATATTTCCCAGAACTCAAATGTGCCAGAGCCAAGAGGGGGAAGAGTCGGAGAGGAGGGGGGAGATTGGGAACAAGGGCCCCTTCCCCCGCACACGCCGACTTGGTGCCTCCGGCCCGACTCCCGCTCGCAGGTGAACCCCGAAGTTACAGCTCTCAGCAGCTGCGTGGGATCGGAGCAACACATCCTTCCCCCAGAACCAAAAAAAAAAAAAAAAAAAGTGTAAAATCCATCATCCCTGAGCCCCATCCCTTTCCCTCCGCATATGCACGCACTTTACCTGTTTTTATGCCGGGTTTTTAATAAATTCCTTCCAAAGGGAGCCATGATTCCAGCGGCAGAAGCATAACATCAGCGATCCCCAAACAATTCGAGGGTGTTCCCTTCTCCCCTATTTTTTTCCCTGAGCTCCTTCCAGCTTGTTAATAGTCACTGAGCGTAGCGATGAGCTGGAAGTTGTGCAATTTACTGCTAACTTTGAACTCCGGCTTGTTGCTGCTGCTGCTGCACCTTTGGAGTCCTGCCCAGCTGCAATCTTGAAGGAGGCGTTTAGGAGCAGGAAAAAGAAAGGGGAGGGGGGGGGAGGAGGGGAACACACACTTGCTTTTGTGATATGAAGTTATGCTCAGAACTTGCTAAACTTTCAGCTTCGTCACCCTAAGGGCACCAGCCAGCAAATGGGAGAGAAGGGGAACTCTATAAAAACACAGAACAAAAGAATTGAAAACTTTCCCCAGGAGGCTCCAGCCACTTCAGGTCAAGCCGTTCAGCTAAACACCGTCGTTAATGAAGGGCAAGCAACAGTTGCCACACCAGTTCTCAGTACATAATAACCTTCCTTTCACATCAAGGAGCAGTACCTCTTTAAAAGGTGTTGGACAAGTAATGGGAAGATGAAGGGAAAAACCTAGACCTCTGTGGCCCCTCTGTCCTCCCTGGATTTTGAAGTAAATTATCTGTTTGCATGACAGCCTTTGCAGACCTTTGTGTGGCTAAAAGCACCTTCGACAACTTTGTAAGCACAGCCTAGCAGAGAGCAAAAGAGGCAGCAACACAAAAAATTCAGATTTACTGGGATGTTGCAGGTCCTTTTGTGTTATTCTTTTGAGCTGGCTTGGCAGGAGGGAAATGAACACACACTACAGTTCCTGTTGCTGGAACCCCATGGGAACAAGGGATTTGTAGTGAACTTTCAGAAGGGAAAACTTTTAAAAGTTTCAGAAGAAAAATACTACCCCCTCCTCCCTACCTTTCCCCCCAACAATTTGGAATGGAGCATGGGAAAGAGACATTGCACCCCAAAGGTGGTTTGAGGGTCCTGGGATAGGAAGCCTCCAGCACAGCCTACCCTAGCCTTCTACTTTGTGTAGGTAATTTAACAGGTATATATTAGATGTAAATCTCCTCTCCCTCTCCTTCCCCCACTTATTACAGGGCAAATTCTTTATGTGGTTTACAGAATGTCAACATAATAGGGAATTGTTTTGTTAACTTGGAGGGGTGGGGTATGACTGGATAGTGGTCTACCAGACTGAGTACTTATCTGAAAAAGAAAGACTTTTCTTTTTCTAAATTCCTTTTTCCTCCCTTAGTCCAGATAGTCACAGCAGCCTGAAGAAAACAAAACAAAGGCCCATTCCATGGGTTACCTATTACTGGCAGTGCTGGGAATGCTCCACATATTTTCAGTTCAGTCCCACGCCTCTAAATTCTCTGATCTGTGACTAGAAAGAGAGTGACCAGAGACTCTTAAAAGCCTTGTTTGTGTAATCATCCAAATAATACAAGAATAGGAAAGCAGAAATGAAACAACTTTCAGATTTCTCATCCTGCTGCCAGGGGGGGATTTTAAGCAATCTGCTTTTGGCGTTATGAACGTAAGCCCAAACCCATTAAGTCCGTAGAAGTCTTTCCTTTTGCTTTCTCAGGTTATATGTGCCACGAAGAGGGGATTTTCTCATATTTAAAGGATAGGGAAAATTTTTCAGTCCCTAAGAGAAGTTCAAGGCATAGTTGGCATAAAAATCAAATCAGTAAGACTTCCTGTAGAACAATTAATATTCAAATAGCTATTTTTATCAGCAGAGGCAAAATGAAATACCTTTATCTCCAGAATAATATTCACTTTTCTCATAATTACAAAAATAAATGGGAATCTAGCAATATATGTAGCTGGTTTTATTATTCATAAATAGTCACCTCACAGTTTTAATTTATTGAAATATGAAAATATGATGTAAATTGTTCTTCTTTTACTAGAATATGCAAAATACTTTTAAACCAAACCTATGTAATGTGGGAACTGGATCCCTCTATGCAAGTAAATCACAATGTTACGTTCATGTAGCTAAGCAAAGAATTGTAGGAAAGACTCCAGCACTAATAAACAGACATTTTCCCCTCAGCTGAGGGAAGGTTCTCAGTCTATTCAATTTCACAATTACTCTAATCAAAAGCAGAAAAACATCAAGTGAGTATATGATAAAGTTTTAGAAAACAATAAAGGAGAGAATCATAAGAAAAAGAAGAACATTGCTGTTTGGAAGAAAAAAAAAATAAAAAAATGATCAAAGACATTTAGTAAACCATAAAGAAGAGAATATATGCTCTCACTTGGTGTGAGACAATCTATATAACCCAAAATAAAAGTATAATAGATAGCAAAAGGACTTAGTGAGTTTATACAAACACATATACAGAAACATAAGAAAATGCAATAGAAGGGACATGAACTTTTATTCTTCAGCACATAAACCAGATTCTCAACAGAGTGGAAATAGTAGCAAAACATGTTGGAGGGACAGGTTAATTTTGTAGGCAGTGTTGACACAACAGTTTAGTTAGCTTGCCCTTAAACTCCCAAAGTGCCTCAAACTACCCGCATTTGTATGTACATGTCCTTAGTTTTTTTAAACTCCAGCTCTGATCTTCCAAGAATATCAGGCCAACATTCCAGACCTGGGCCCTTCCCAGTGTGCCATAGGGGCACCAAAAACAACCACAGCTCAACTTTTGAGCACAATCACCTTCTAGTCATTCTCTAAAATGGCTGGTAATGTCCCATTTTTCACCCATGATGTGCTAAGCATAGCCAAATCATTCTTCTATACAATATCTTCCCCCAACAAGAAATAGTGAATGCAAGAGAGTTTCTAGGACTTGTTGTTTTTGTTTGTTTGTTTGTTTGTTTTTGAAAGCACTCCATAAATTGTGTATGTACTGGTCTTAAAATCATCAGACAGACTAGTCAACAATTCACTCTGGTATTTAAGGGAGAAAGAAAAGGAATTATAAATTTTAGAGTATCACTTCCCACCTGGATAAGCTTGATGAATAATAAATCTGGATGCAAATCTTAGGTGCTTGATCAGAAACCTTAAGGTTAATAAATTTAAATGTTTCTTTTGCCATCTTTCAAAGCAACTCACATGGAATATTTTGCTCATCCCTTTGACAAAAATACTGCAGCGTAGAGATGTGCAATCCAGCTTTAACCATAGCAGTCTATGGGTATAATTTCACAGAATGCAAAGAGCCAAATTAATTTTTTGCATGCAACAAGGAGCAGATGTGCTACTGTCCTTCCCTTCCCTTTCTTCCCTCATACCTACTGCTTGATTCTAGCACTTACCTTACACAGTGTTTGGGTTCTCATCCAATCTCCTGGTAAGCAGGTAACTCACTCAAATTCCAACCCAGCAACAAAGGTTTGATCCATCTGTTTTGGACTGATTGGTGAGGTGAGTTGGCTTACCTCGGGATCAGAAAAGAGCATTCAGATGGTGTGATTTCCAAAGCTGGTGCAAGGGAGGAGTTGAACCAGAAGCAGGACTAGGAGAGTGAAAGAGAGGAAACACAGTGAAAAAAAAGAATCAGAAACAGGGGGAAGGCACAAGACTTCCCCCTTTGGCTGTGTGGTAGGACAGCTTGGCAGCTCAGTGAAACCCCATGTTAAGAGTGGATTCACGTTAAATGGCTTCATCTAATCTAACGATTTGCTGTCTTCTTTCCTCTCTCACTAGGCAGACTCATGACCATTTCCTTGTGCCAGGTCTGGCCGTCAACACGCTTTGTGTTTATACCATTCAATATCTTAAATGGATGGAAAGTTGATGTGACACAGAAAAGTGAATAAACTTATTTTTTTTTTTTTTCCTGGGCTAGCTAGTTAAATTGGCTTATTGGGGTGTCAAACAATTGGCAGGATTGGCAGGAGAGAAAAAGGACCATGTGGGAGGAGGACAGTCTGAGCAACCCTGAAAAGCTGGATTGACTCAGCCACATTGTGTAATTTCATTCTGACTGCAGCAGTGAGCAGCTCAATGGAGGCAGCAAAGGCTCCCTTTGAAACAAGATAAATTACTCATTCCTCACTCTACATCACCATATGTAGTCTGATCCTAGTACACTAGCAACATAATTTTACAACATCATAACTACTTCTGTCTGCTTTAAGTGCAGCCAAGTTTATGAATATAAGACATAAAAAATAGTCCAACAGGGTAAGAAGTAAAGCTCAGTGCTGGGATTTAACTGGTTAAAACATAGGAAACTGAGAACTGAGTGATGTATCTTCAGAGAAGCTGTGGATTTGAGTTGTTCAGCTTCCTTGAGAGGATATTCAAGAGGGATGCAGAAGACTGGTGGGTGATGATAAACTGGCAGGTAAAGGTCATGTTGATGACCTCAGCTATTTTTTTTTTTTTTTAAGAAGAAAGAAAAGGAGAGAGACAGTTAACAGTTATTCAGAAAGGAATCCAGAATGAAGCTGAAAAGCTACTATAACCATTCATTCTGAGCCTACAGTATCCCTGGTATCCCATATCAAAAATTATATAGCACCATGAGGGAACAGGGACAGCAAATGGCAGAGAGAACTTTTAGATAAAGAATAGCTTGATATACAATGAGAAAATAATTAGAGTTAAAACTTTTAAATCTGAAAAATGGCAAATATTTGTTTACAATGAGAGAAGTCTACTGTCATGAGAAAAAAAATAGAAAAAATGATTTCTTACAGTGTAAGTACAAGGGCCTGCTGAAAAAAAAATCAGCAAGGTTAAAATGCATTTTTTAATAATTTTCATTTTTAATTAACTTACAGAACTACCCTCTGACTTAAAAATGCCATGGAGAACAAAAATATGAATAAATTCAAAGAGGTTATGCAAAACCATGGACTATATGGCCACTATAAGTTACAAAAATCATTAGGGTACATAGCCCTTTGCACAGGAAACCTTTAGGTTACTATTGAGTTGCAGATTAGATCCAGTTGAAACTTCACCTCAGCCACTGTGACCTTTGTAGAGGACTTCCATGTAAGAATTTTCCTGCATTATAATACAGCAGTAAGCAAAACAGGCAGTTTGTTCCTCTGTAAGCAGGTTATTTCAGATACAAAACTATTTTTTATATTCTACCAGCCCCAAGTGCTCCTAATCACACATCTCATTCAGTCTCCCCAGATGTGGAGACAAATTCTTTGTCTCTACATTACTTCCAGTCAGTACTTTCCTAATCCAGCCCCGAATCTTTCTGTCCTTGCTTTCATTAGGCACTGAAACAATGCCCTGAGATTGGA